GCCGCGGCGGGGCTGTGGGGCCGCGGTCGAGCTGCTCTTTGTTCCCTCCCGCAGAGCACTACAAGCACCACTGGTTCCCCCTGGTGCCCTCCAAGGGCTCCGGGTACCGGTGCATTCGGATCAACCATAAGATGGACCCCTTGATAGGAAAGGCAGCGGGGATGATCGGACTGAGCCGCGAGAGACTCTTCCAGCTCTTACCCAGCGAATTAACTCTTTGGGTCGACCCTTTCGAAGTGTCCTATCGTATAGGTGAAGACGGGTCTATCTGCGTCCTTTACGAAAGCCCCCAGCCTGGTGGGAAGGCGCCCCAGCCGCTGGAGAGCAGGACCAGCTGTAAGGAGGAGTGGAGAATTGGCAGATCCAGCCCTTCCAAGAATTATAACATGATGACGGTTTCTAGCTAAAAATTACTCCTCCTTGTACAATGCTGTATGTATCCCAGTCTCACGGTAAACTTAGATGTAACTGAGATTTTGGGGTTTTAATTGTTTTCTTTCCACCCTATAGGCATTCAAGTTGTAGTAGTACTGCCAAGTTCTTTGTGGCCAAGGGCTAATGTATAAAGCGGTTCTTTTCACTGCATGTTACTTTCTGGATTGTGTACTGTAAATGCACTGTACAGTCAGCTGATTGTTTTACACATTTATATTTTCAGAGAAGTTTTGCCTATTTGTAATAAAAAGCAATATTGTAGCACTCTTTATGATGGATTTTAGACAAGATTAACACTTGCTAAAACATTCCTCAATTTGCAGAGCAATAACACGAAGGGGGGCGGGAAACAGATCTAACAAGCTGCACATAAATCTTTCCAGTGATTTGTCTGCACAGACTTCTCTCAGGGTCATTCAAGCTTGGCTGCAAGGCACAAATCACAAAATTAACTCTTATTTTTCCTTTTTCAAAGCATGCATTTATTTGACGGCTGGATTCCATCATAACCCAACATTTTGACAAAAAGAATTGGGGAATTAGTTTGTCTTGTAATTTCTAGTTATTGGAGTAGAACAATAAAGACTTGCTCAAACTGTTTTTGACTTGGGTTTTTTTTTTCTCTCCTCTAGGCTTTTTACATTGCTTTCAAGGCTTACTTTAGCTATTTCTAATCATAACAGATAGCTTCACAGTTAGAAAGGTGTAGCTCTGAACATTCATCTTTATTTCAGATCACCACAAAATGCTTGGTTTCGGTAAAGCTTGCTGGCTCTGTGTCTGAGTAGAGCTGAATAGTCTGTGTAGAACTGTGTGTGGTTTTTTTCAGTGTGTGCCATTTCAAGCTGAGTGGAAGCAAAAGTACTCTTCTAATATTTGACCTATTGCAAAAAATGCTTGAGTTTATTGGGGAATGGAGTTTGCGTTTAAAACTGCAACTTAAAACCATCTAGGAAGCTAGAGTGAAACACTGATCATCAATACTGTGTTACTACCTTGACTCTTCTGCAAGGTAAAAACCTGCTATTTCTGGCATTATGTTGAGTTCCTTCTCATTTTGTCAGCGTCTTGAGTACCAGTTGGGTACAAGTTTAGTAACAGTATCAAACATGGCGGATTTGATGTAATAACAAAACTTCATGTTGCTGGTTTATGTGGAGACTCTTAGTATTGATATTCCAGTAAAGGATTCAATTTACAGATACTGTGATTCCTATTCTAAGAAGCAGTGGTTTGTAATCTAGCTATAGAAGACTGCATCGCGTCTAGCATTGCTGGTTTTCGGTAGCCTGTGTTCGAGCACAGTTGAATACTTGATGAAAGAGAGCTTTGTCTCATGTTAGTATCTCAGGAAAAAAAAATCTTGCGCTGTGTCAATAACATGGTAGAGCATACAGCAAAGGAAGGGGCAAGTCTGGGCAAACTGGAAAGGGTAGAACTCCAGCTCGCGTAAAGAGGTCTTTTTCTTTGTTTGCGTTAGAAAAAGCTGTGGCTTACTTTTTGCTCTTTGCCTTATTATCCTGGAGGCAGGCTTGTCTAGTAGTATTTGTTTAATCTGAATACAATGTATAGTGCAATTTTCTTAGCAATTAAAGCTTTGCAAAAATTGATTGTGTGTTTCTAGTCTATCACTCCAATAAGTAAGTTTCTGGGTTACTTTAACAAATGGGTGTTAAAGGTCTTTTGGCAAATTGCCTTTTTATTATACAATATTGAAAATCCGTTCTTGCGACATTGTTTTATTCCCTTGGGGAGATAGTAACACTTTTTTTTTTTCTCTGATAGAATTACCTGCACTGAATATTTATTTCCTTAGGACCTCTAAGGGACATATTTGACACATTTGTCAGTAATTGAACAGAATAACTTTAAATCTGCTAGGGGTGAGATGCCTTCTTTGATTAAATTCATTTGAAAGATAATTGGCCTTGCTGCACATTATATTAACAGCCTATCTGAAAAGATGTAGCATGAAGTTTTTAGTTTAACAGTTTATTTTTACATAGCAGTAAACATTTGAGGTGGAATTAAAGATGACTTGGGACCCAGGGTATGATTTCCAGCTACTGGGTGTGGTTTGACATAAAGTAGGGTACAGCAGGTTTTTCAGATGTTCTTCTCTTGCTTGGTGTCTCTCAGTGTAAGAGTAGAGAAGAGCCTGGATTAATCCCAGCCATGGTGAATTCTGTTGCTTCTTACTTATTAATTGTACCACATTCAATGGGA